CATTCAACAAATTATTACAATTTAAGTAGGTAGCTGTTGTCCCTTCTATATTTAATAAATGTTGTATAATGTATTATGATTATTGATTAACAATGTTGTAGATGAAATAAGTTTAGAACGAGGTTTAGAATAAGTAAAAATTAAAAATTTCGATTTTATCAGCATAAACTCAAAACTAAAAATACCATGACCTAAACATTTTCTTAAATATTTAAATAACTTATGCAACCTTATTAATTACAGAAGAAAATGTTGAGAGATCTAGTAATATTTCCAGTATTCCAGAAATTACAGATGTATTAATTTCAGATCCAAATTTTAATTTGGCATCATTGGACTTTATTGTATTACCAGCAGTCGAAAATGATGAACCATTTTCCTTGAGTCATTGTAAATAATATTTGTATTTGAAAGTATTTATAATTATGTTTTAAAACAAAACTAATTTTTAGAAATATTTAGTTCCATAGTTATATTATTATTATATTATTATTCTTTCTTTTTATTAAACAAAAGTTTATTTACAATCTGTAATTTATTTACAATAAGTAAATTTGGTAACTAAAACTAAGATTTTATTACATGAATTACGCCGAGGGAAGTGTCCACTAGCGTGGAAAGCCTATGGCTTGAGAGTGGGGAGAGAGGTTCTTAGTTATTTAATACAGGTGGCGGTTCGAGAGGTCTCGATTTCAGTGTCTTTAATCGACGCGAACGGTTATCTTGGATGAATTCGATGGCAATCAGATACTAGTGGATTTGTATGGTTAACTGATTTGGTGTGGGATATTTTCATTTTGAGGCTATTTCAATTCTTAGATCTTTGTGTAATAGTGCAGCCATGGCGTTGATATTCTTTGGCGAAGAGAGATTGATTGGAAGGTCTGGATGACGTAATATTAAACATTTTTTGTTTTTGGTTCCCTTAATTACATTTTACTATCATTAAGTACATATAATAAAATTACCTACCAAGATTAATAAATCTTCTGTATTATAATATCATGATAAAGTTAAATTTAAATAAAATATATTAATGTAGGGGGCGGGCCAATGTTCATATATTTACTTTTGGAGGTTTGAACTAAAGAATATTATAGCAACTTTATATTAAGGACAATTAAAGGTAGAGAGAGAATACCTCAATTAATATCTCTAAAACCAGGCATGAATTAAAATAATAGCCTTACAAATTTTACGGTTTTTAAATATTTGAACAAATCTATTATGTTTATATCAGTATTGTTTTGTTAACTAAATGAGAAAAAAAATGTATATCTCCCCGGAAAATCCGGCCTTGTTTATATTATATTATATATTTAAATTATCTTCTATATAGTAGGTACCTATATACAGTATTTCCCTAAAGAATTTAATATACCTTGTATAAACTGATGGCGTAATAGATATTACATTACTTCCACCATTTTATAACAGTAAATCTTTGCGGGACACATTATATGGTTCATTATTAATTCAATATTGTTTACTTTTATAATTAAATATTCGTTAATTATGTTTTGCAGACTACAGTACATATTTAATTTATAATGTTGAACATATTCTGTCTCTATAGATAAAACTTATTTCACTCAAGAAGAACTTAAAAAAGTTGGTGATATGTACCAACATTTGGATTGGTACATGCGGCGCCATAAATCTATGGCTTCTAGCATAAATGAGGAAGATTTGTGTATAATATGTTATTCAAATAAAAACAATGTGACTTTGAGACCGTGTAAACACCAATGCTGCAAGTGAGTTCAAGTTTATATTATAGTCAACTTAATAGTTACTATATATAGTTCATAATAGTTATGAAAGTAGTAAAAATTGTACTCAATACTCATTATAACTTATTACAATTATTTTAATATATTATGGTGTTAATGTGTTACAATACCGAATAATACGTTTGCAGAATACATTAAATGCGCGAAAAGTCATGTGCTTAACAGCTTAGTTACATAAATTAATACTACCATAGTACCATGCAAATTAATTTATCTGCAAAAATGTACAATCTGCATGTTAAAAATGCTACATTTTTTATGAACTAAGTGGCACATAATAAGTCTCTGTGGGATATATTGCAACATTGGGGATTTGTCTATTTAATACTATTTATCATCTCTTTTGAAAGAGAAGGCGTTTTGGGAATCAAAGTTTCCCGAATAAAATTATATAATGACGCCGGTTGCCCGCAGTGCTGCCAGTCAAATAATTGCGATAAATTAATCTTACGATCATACCTCGTTTTAAAATGTTGCTGGTACATTATGCATAACTATGATTCCTTATACAATAAGGTATTTATTTCTCTTTTTTTATAGTTCTAACTTCTAATCTAATTATTATGTACAATGCACATACATTTTAAATATTATAAAACGTTTCAATAATAATTTTATTTTTTAAATACTTATGTTCTATGAATATCTTACTCATTAAGTACACGTTTTTATTTAGTGTAAGTTTGGGCTTACAATATCGATTATTATACCTATAAATATACAGGTGATTCACCAAGTATGCTCATCACCTTTTTCTTCTCCGACAACGCAGTTAATCAATTTTTTGTACTACTTTAGGAGTGTCTCGTGGAGATACAAACTTCTGTTTTTCGAATGACTTTGACCTTTTTATACAAATAATTATTTAGTGGAAAATTTTTTTAAAATTTGTCCGTATCAAAACTAAAATTCAGACGAGAGGTTTTTGAATTACTTAACTATGTGCTCTTAAGATAAAATGTCCAATAATGGGTTTGAATGATAATAGGGCAATGGTTATTTGAAAATTTAGAATTTTTTATTAATCTATCAATATTTATAATTTATATTAATGATTCAAATATAGTTAATACCAGATCCAATGTAACATATATTTTATATTCTGTAAAACCATTTTTAAAGGCTAGTATCCTTGAGAGGACGTGGCCACTATTATATTGTCTCCGTCTCACAAGTGCGCAAAAAAGCAAATTTTATGCTCAATAAATCACTTTTAGCTCCGTTAATTTAAAAATTAGAGTGAATTAACCTCTTATAAAAAGGTAAGGTTATTAGTTAGAGCATTTTATAGGCATTTTATAGGCTTTTTATTATGTTTTAATTTTAATGCAAGTTATGATTATTCTAAAATTGTGAATTGTTTGTACATCTTAAAGTACTCATAACTCGCTTTAAAACTAAAATATAGTGAAAAGCCTATGAGATACCTTAGGTGCCCTAGATAATAATCTTAAAATTGTACAAGAGGTCAATTCACTCTAATTTTTAAACAACGGATCTAAACGTGATCTGCTGGGCTTAAAATTTGCGATTTTACGTATTTGTAAGACTGAGACAACACACAAGGGTTCCACATGTCACATCCTAATAATAATATTAACATTTTAATAACTAGAAAACAATTAAATTACATTTTGAATAAAAAAAATTAAAAAAATTTTCTTCTTAATAATTTAGTAAGTTCAAAATGGGGGTTTTATTTGAAAAACTAAAGTTCGTTTCACCACAAGAAACTCCTTAAGTAGTGGGAAAAATGTTAAAATATGGTCTTTAGGCATGTTTAAAAATTCCAAAACGCAGAACTTATTTAAGAAAGAATGGGGGACAACATGCTTGGTGAACTACCTTGTATATAAAAATGTTTTACAATATACATTTATAATATTTTTTCCCATGCAAAGGTTAAGTATTCAGTATTTTTTATTACTGATATTAAATTCATAAAATGTAAATAAGAATTAGGGTAATCGTGATTTTATCTTGTCTTTTAATTTGAACATGTATTAATGCAAATTAAATGATTTATTTCAGATTATGTATAAATCATCACGTACTTTATTCACGTGTTTGTTTTTACTGTAAAGGAAGAATTGAATCAGTGGTTGATGCTAATAATTCGTCGATTGTAATACATGATTTCGGTACTGAACCCCCGCCATTATTGTGATCTAAAGGACTCAATTACAGAAAAATATTATAAATATACATAAAATATATAATAGTTATTTTCGAATAAACAACTGAAAATATGTATATACTATTAAATTAAAAACTTAGGCATTTACGTCAACTTATGAACGATAAAACAATCCAGCTACTTTCCATTTAGTGGTATTAAATAATTAAACTATTGCAGGTTAATAAAAACGGTGAAATACAAAACCTTAATTTATCAACCTTTAAAAACGAAAACAAACTCATTGAATTACCCTTAAAAGTCGATTTGACAAATGCAATGCGAATTTTAAATATATGCTATAACTTATAAATAAGTGATTGATCATTATTTTATAAGTACAGAATGGTTTCATATTTTTTTATTACTGATAAATTAAAAAAAAAAAGTAAATTAAAATGTTAAATAATAATTTCCATTTTTCTGAAAACACTTTAAGGTAAAAAAATAACTTATACTGTGTAACGCGGGTTTATAAATCGAATAAAAGTCCTTTTTGAATTTCCTAATTATTTTCAAGAAATAAAATACAAGATAACTGAAGAGATGCTAGGTAAGTATGATTTTAAATTTGAATACAATTTCGTCCATTTTTGGTTAAATCGAATTCCACTGAAAATTGATAACAAAAAAATACAATAATGCTTTCAAATTTTAAGAGAGCAGTGAACAACCCTTAGTTGGTCTTTTTTTTAATATGCATCAAGTATTGTGTATTGTATAAACTCTTAAGTATGGTATTTTACAACAACATCTTATTTAGGTATACTTATTTTACTTTAACCCGTTTTGACTACGCCGATAAATTGTTCGGTTAAATAATACAAGTTAAAACGAATGTATGTACAAAGATCAATACTTTGTGTTAATATACAGATTATTAAAATAATATAATTTATAATTTTGTAATTTAAAACCATTATTGTTATACGAATTAAATGGAATAAAATAATTATATAGGTTCATTTGTTTATACCAACACAAAATGTTATTTGTAATTCATGAATTAATTCCATACATATACCAAAAAATAATATTTCTATAAACGTTATATTAATTTATTTGCACTTGATGATTGTCAAATGACTTTTATTATTACTGCAGGCTTGCAAACGAAAATGAAAATGCAATATTATTGAAGAATAAAGTAGAGAGTGGGAGGCATAAGAATGGGCTGTGTTTACTTGTGCAGTTTAGTGTTTCGCAGACCCTTAGGTGAGAAGATTAAGTCATTCGTGTTCAAACGTCGCGTCATGAACGTCCTAATCCCACTAGCTTTGTCGGTATTCTTGCTCAATCAAAATTATGCTTGGTTTATAAATCACAAAAATTCTGAAGGTAAGTAATTCTTGTTTGTGTAATTTTATATACTGTTTTTATGAAATATAGATGAATAGTATTTAAATTATTAATGGTTTTTTTTAAAAGAAAAATAACCCTTATTTTTTAATACTTAGTTTTGAGATACTGAATAAGTTTTTTTTTACAAACTCTTGATTACATAAAAAATAGCAATGTACAATTATATTAGAAGAATTCGGGACAATTTTTAAAAAAACATAATATTTTAAATTTCTGTATCTTTTTGGTTTAATAATTGAATTAATGTATACTGTATACTGCATACTATACTAAATAATTAAGTAAATAATAAAATATATATTTATCATCTAAATTTTTTGCATAATACTCAAATACCTTCTTATAATAAAAAATATTATAAGAATATTTTTATTTTCATGATGTCAGATTATAATGTACTCTGTACTTGGTAGGAATATTTACTTACTTTACATTATTTGCTGTACTTTTTAACTGAAGTCAATACATTTTAATTTTTTTGTGTCGTTTAAAAATTTGAAAGTTAATAGTAGTAAGTGAGTATTTTCTGAAGTATAATATACCAATGTTAAATACTCATAATTCGGAAATGTATGAATTTTATAAACATACTGTAGGTACTGCAATAACGATTATAATATTTAACATTTTAAATTCAGAAATCTAATTTATGTTAATTTAATTTAAATTAATAGTTTTACTTTTAAACTTTTTGAAAAATATTTTATACAAATTGGATTATCTAAAAATATTAAATTACATGATAAATAAAATACACCAATTTACTTTCGTGAAAGAGAAGTAACAGAAAAAAAAATAATATGTCAGTATTAAATAAATTAATACATTGCTTAATTACGATTTAATAATACGTGTTTACCAAGACAATTATTTTTACGCACATTGATTTAAGGATTCATTCTTTATAAACGGAAACCATTTTCTAATGATACATCGACATTCGATGTATTATCTTTAGAAATTATACACCATACAAATATTTCATTCATATTAAATCAACTTTTTAAAATGAAATGTCCAACACAGAAATCGGTCTTCAATTATTTACACATTTATACTGATTAGTATCGATAATTCAATAGAATAGACATGAGTTCATGACCATTCATTATGTATGAATGTTTACATTGTCATATTAAAACAAAAATAAACATAACAAAAAATTAAGTACATAATTTTCATGGGAGTAATAAAATATTTTTAGATTTTTTTGGTAAAAGCAAGAAATAAAAAATTAAAGAAATCCGAATTTTTTTAACATAGACAAACAATAAGAAATACATTTTTTTACTCCCTATAAATCGTGAAATCTAAGATAAATTTTAATTGCCCTGAATAACTGCATCTACAATATTTTTTAAAAATATTTTATGTTTTTTAATCTTATTATTTTGTATATTTAATGTTATTGATTCATCATAAATATTGGTTTTATACCATTGTTTACATGTTTACATATAGGCGGTAAAAACATAGAATAAAACGGACCAATACCCCAAAATTAAAATTAAATTAATATTTTCATTTTAGAATTATTGTACATTTAGTTGTACATTTTGAGATGGTATTTTAATAATAATACAAAGAATTTTAATAACATTGAAATTTTAAAAAAATACTTGGATTATTAAATTTTAATAAAGTACTAAATTGTACTTTTGATAGTAAAATGTTGAAGCACGCACACATAAAACGATACGAATAAAATTATGATGACGACAAAAAAAAAATGATTTTATTCATGTCATATTATAACCTAGTTGGAAAAAATTGATTACTTAAATAAAATATAACTTAGTTTTCGAAGACTTCAATACATGTTTTTTATGCAGATAATATAGGCGTATAGCATATTGAATTTGTTATAAATGTTAAATATAAAATATTCTATATATAGGTTATTATGTTTATATTTTTCTTACTCATAAACCAATATAATTTAACTACCTACTCATACACATTTCAATACCGAAATAATTTTATTTCTTTACTTTTACCAGGAAAAAACCCGAATGTCTTTAAGGTTTTATTTTATATATATTGTAATGTTAAGCTGAATAATAAGTAGAAATTCAAAAAACCTGATTAATTTTTATTCAAAGACAGCGGTTTTACTAATTTGATGATTTTGATGTAGAATTTAATTAATACATCTTAATAAGCAATTAATACTTAATTTTTCTAGGCAAAAAATAAATATCTATAAAATGTGTTCTGTATTATATTCATATTACTTATGTAGAGTACTAGTATTTTATAAATTTACTTTATTTAAAAAGCGTTCTCTTAAGCGTTAGTTAAAATTTGAAATGATAATTTATTATATTTTATATTACCAGGCCCAATAAATATTTAGTATAAATAAACTTTAATAACTATAAAATTGAATTTTTACCTGTTTTCTCAATTTGTTTAGTTATTTTGTTTATGTAATTAGTCTTAAAATGTTATATTTAGTAATACCATTATACTTAGGATTATAATAACTGCTTCGTAAATTGTACAATAATATATACATATATTTGCAATTGCAAACTATTGAGGTTTTCTTATATTTTATAAAATATCAACTAGATTAATTTTCTGCCTTACAAGTTTTCTTATTGACATTTGATTATATAATAATGTGTCATTAAATAAACAGAGAATAAACTACTAAAAAATGTATACATTTTCATTGAGGTATTAATTAAATTTTACTTTTGTGAACAAACAATTTTCTAATAATTTATAAATAAAATTTATTACATGAATTAAAATTGTATAAGATACGATTAAATCATGTGAAATTTTATTTTTTTTTTTTTTTTCTATTTGAGAGATTATAAGATGAATAATATAATATTTTAATATCATTAATATTTAGTTCTAAAAGCTCTAGACATAACACATCAAACATTATTTCTAAAATTATTCAAAATGTACTCATTTAAATAGTATTTTCTTTCGTAACTATATTAAAATATATATTATATACAAAAAAAATTACTTTAATTCGCCAATGTATTAATTGAACTTAATTTATTGAAGCTACTTAATGTGTATTTTAAAGAAAGTAATTAAAATGTCCTGTAATAAATCCATAGAATACATAGAGATAGGTTAGGGCTATTAAAATCGAATAATTTTATATAGTAAGATATAACGTTGCTTAATCGTATTTTTATATCAGTTATTAAAATTTAAAATGTACTCATATGAAATTAAATTCAAGTTTAAGTCGCATCAGTGAACAAAATAATGCTTTTAGACCCCGGACATTTTGAAATGGTGATAAATGGTCCGTAGATAATTGTTGTTGTTTTAAATTATACTCCTACAATAACATGACCCATTGTTTTAAAATGTTAAATCCATGCTGTTAACTAATAGCATTTAACAAATAGAAATCATCAAAAGCATTTAAGTTATATTCATAGTATTGTAATAATCTGTTTTCAAACTTTTTGCTTATTTCACAATAGAGTACTTTATGGTTTACGTTTGTAAAAAATCCTTTTTGGCCAATACTTATTTTATCTTAATGAAAAATTTCCTTTTACGACATAGTACAACAAATGAAATTAAACCAGGATAAATGTTAGGTTAGGTTAAAAAGGAACACCCACTAACATCAGCTGTCTAATATATTCAATTAAAAACTTCAGCGGTATAGAACAAAATAGAATTACATTTCATTCTGTTTTTCTATTATATTAATTATAATAAATAATATAAGAATTAAAGAATATTACTTTGCACTTAACCACTAATGAAACTTATAAAAATCTTTTAGTTTTTATATCAAACCGTTTAAAAATATTCCCTTGAGTAATTCTATAAAATATAAAATACATTTTTTTATTTGTATTATATAATATACATTATACAAACTGTAAAATGTACAATGTAGATGAAAGTTTCACAGGTTTAAGAGAGTTAAAATGGTGATTTATTGTTATAAATAGTTATTTTCTTCCCCTGTGATGTGAATCTCACTAAATATCGGTGACTTTACATGGACTTCGGCTGAGTGGACCATTTTACAAGTTCCGGTCTCCTGAAACATCTAGTTATTTGATTACGGCTGATGATTCGTACTTAGATCCACTCCAAAGTAATATAAAAACTGCCATTCCGAGATAACAAATGAGGAGCAACAAAAAATATCAAAACATCAGAGAAAACCTTCCATAATATTTCAGGACTCTTTGTATTAATACTAGATGGTATATATGTATATAAACACGATTCAAAAACATGTAATCACTTAAAAATATATTTTAGTTTTTGATATACAACGTTGTAAGTTTTCATATTATAAATTATGATATTTCTGTATTGATTTACGTAAATGTCGGGCTACAAAAGTTTCAGTAGACCTACTCTTTAGTTTGGATGATACTGAAAACATAAATTTTTGAAACGTCTAAAGCATTTGAGGTTTTCCCAATTATTTTTTTTTATGTTCGTATTTAAAATAATAAATATGAAAACAAACATTTTTCATATTAATATGATGGATATGTCATGGTTTTTGTGGATCAAAGAGACAATTGGTCGAGAAATTATATACTACGCACACAGTCATATGGCACATAAAAATGGTTTTTATTGTTTTATATAGATTTCACTAAGAGATATGTAATATACTAAATGCATGCAATTATATAAAAATAAACTTTTTTAATATTATATTAATAATTAATAATAATAATTTTGAATACACACATGTATATTTATTAATATGTATAAAACAAAAACCATACGACTTTCTTAAAAAGGTAAATAACAGCTATGATATAATGTCTAGAAATATATTTTCATAAGTTGGATGTTTTATTATTAAACATTTAAACTATATAATGTAGGTAAGTATTCTATAAGATTTTAGTTACTCGTTTATTAAGGCATGTCAAAGTAAAACATTGATAAAAAAAAAACTATTTTCTTATATCGTTTACTGTGTTTATATTGTTCGCAATATTTACTGAAAT